ACACACATACGTAAGTACAAAGAAAGCGGGTGTTTGCAAATGCTATTCAGGCAACATGGATTTCCATGATTCCCCATTAAATCACATCTAGTCAAACACGCTCAGTCCATTTTTGGTATTGAGCACTAGTCAGTCACTATTTTTTTCTGATTGCTTTAGCAAAATCTAGCAGATGCTAGATTAAGTCTGAAGACATATAGAAAAAATTAAAAAAAATACTATTTGGAATTGATTTTGTTTTCAATAGATTAAAATCCTAAGAAATAGCCAACTGTTTTGGCTCCACTAGAGGTTTCACCTCCAAATAATTTGTAATGCTGCACTCAGTATGCTGAACCACTAGCATTCAAATTTAGCAGAAACAGGTCCCTGTGCTAATGATGTCAACCAGAAAACAGTGAGATTTCATTTTCCACCTGATCTATGTAGTGAATCCTTGGGTAGTACCAGGATAAATGCCTGAGAGCTCTTTTTCAGACTGAGGGACTTAGAAATTCAGTCTTTTAAAAATGTTATCAGGTAGCATTCTTCTGGAGTAACATTAAACTTTTAACATTAAGCTGACTCAAAATTAAACCAAACATACAGATTCACTGACCTCTAAGAAAGCTTTGATTAGCTGGTAGCAAAGAGCAGTTACAGGCACCTCTATATTCTCTGTTACAAAAGTCTACCGTGGCTCAGAGGGCTGTCCTTGGACACAGCCTGGGTCTGTATGGCACAACTTTTATTTCACCTTACATGAAGGGAAAGAAAACAAAAATAAAGCCTTGCAAGGGTTCACCTCCCCTTATAACAAAAGGTAAGTACAAATCCAAAGTGGCTTCAAAAACGAAGCATTAGGTTAATGGTTGGACTGGATGATCTTAAAGGTCTTTTCCAACCTAAACGATTCTATGATTCTGTTATTCTAATTTCTTTATTGCTTATGAATCTGTAGAGTACATGACTGATAACTCCCTTCATTAGGGATACCTTAACTTACATCAGGTCAGAGTTTTTTTAACAATTTTGAAATTAAGAAGCATTAATATCAAACTATATATTTTCTTCTGTTCCTTGATACAGAATTAAGCAATCTAAAGTACTCCAGGTTTGTTTTTGCCAATTTGCCACCTTCTGTAAAATGGCAAAAACTCGTTACAGACATATTTGCCAAAAAGTGTGGCAAAAAAGAATTCAGGGGAAGACTACAGGTTTATTTGTATTGTTCCACTAGTCAGTAGGCTTTTTTAGATGTTAATTTTTAAATTATGATTTCAGAGTTAAAGGAAATAGCATGCCAGTTGTTCATTACAGCATTCACTAGAGGACCTGTATTGGCATCATAACTGCTTACTGTAAGTTAGAGCTCTATTGCTTAACATTTCAAGATGCTGTATTCTGCAGTTTTATTTCCTTCTTGGAAAGCAAGTAGGATGTTTGCTAGGAAATTACTTTTACTGGGAAATACTGGAAGTTAATTAGTATTTTGGATGACCCACTTGCAATGGGAATTCTGTCATTTTTACGTGGGCCTATCTGGTGATACTAAACCTAGATAATCGGCTTTGATGGAGATGAAGTCTTTGCTGCAAACGTATAAAAATATCTAGCTAGCTTATTGGCCTACAATTCACATCAGAAAATGATCTAGACTTAAAAATGATGGGACTTTAGAAGGTTTAAATCATATGGGAAATTTTCATATTTTTGTTCTACGTAATTGGAGCTGAACTGTAAGAGGTTTCTAAACACTTTGGGAAACACCAATCATTTCACAAGTTTATGAAGCCATCAAAGCTGTGAAGTCATTGATTGTTGAGAGTTCACACTCTCAACAGTTCACACAGAGCTCTCAACAGAGAGTTCACACACAAACAGATGTGAGAAGAGTGTATTTATCTCATTTCCATACCACTGAATGGGACTCTGAGCGTCGGAATCTTATGAAGGAACTTAACTATTACTATAGAAATTTGATATTTCACACAGATTTTAGAAAGACTACAGAGTGGCAAATTGTAGCTGGATAAGGAAGTGAATATTTGTAATTAACATGACCCCAGAGGAATATATTTGGCAAAAAATACCTTCCCTTGTGAGTGTTCTTTTGCAGTTTGTCATTATACATGCAGAACAAAACACCACCAAGTGTAAAATCATCTTTTTCCTTATAAAACATCAGTATTATGGAATGATACAATGTTCTATTCTGACAGCATCATCAGAACACCACAGGAATTTACTTTTTGCAGAAATCTAGCAGTTCAAATAAAGAGTTAAATGTCACAGTCAATAGGTGGCAACTAGATTTCAAGACTATGTGGATTGTCACATCAAGAAGTATTTTCATTAGCATGCCCGTAGGGAAGAAAAGCTAATGGAAATACAGTCTGCTTTCCCTTCATGTCCGTTGCACCACTTAAGTCTAAAAATACTTGAGAGATGTGTTTTGTGCTTAAGTGGAGCAGAGGAGTATGCAGACTGTCCAAAGTCACTCTCTGATCTAAAAAATAACATTTTTCACCCAAGTTCTTACTGCAATCCACATACACTCACAAGATGTGGAGTCACTGCGAAATATTTGCCACTGGCAGACAAGTGTCCAATAATGAAAAAATGTATCAATAAACATATAGTCAACAACCTGCAGTAACTTAGCAATAACAACTATTTCACAATAATTAAGGTCACCCTTGCCCTAAGGTTTAAACTACATACAACACTACGTACAGTAGGGAAGGACAAACGTGCCTAATGGTCACAAGACACCGATCTTAACGAAACCTGCCAGTCTGTCAGCATAGCACCACTACTCTTTACAAATTTTAAGAATCAGATAGCACAAGCATTTCAGAAGGGAGTTCAGAAATAAAGTCAATGGCATAAACCATAAAACAGTCAATGCTATGCCTGTGTTCCTAAAATGTGTAAGGAAATCCACAAAAGAACTAAATATGGTTATTCCTTTAATGCAAGAATAGAATGGCAGATTTTGTTCAATTAAATTCACTGTAACTGATGTCAGTGAGTCTTGCAGTCCAGTCATCAGTGGGAAAAAGGAGGCTTATCTGAACTACATGGTAATTCCTTTAACAATTCTTTAGTTGATATCTGGCTGACAGGGACAGCAAGATTTGAGACCAAAGCTTAGGTATTTCCTGTTGAGAAAATCTGAAGCATCCCAGTGAGGTGAGGGTATGTTATCTTGGTAGATGAGTACTCAGCAAGTTTCTGATGGTAGATCATTCTATAATGAAATATTCCTGTGGAGTGGTAACTTAATCCGTTGTGGTCTTGACATCATCTTTGACAGCTGCTGTTGGGCTGGTAGCAGCGTATGCTGAACATGCTCTTTTGTACAGCACAGAACACAGGCTGTAGCTGCTACAAGGATGTGGAGATAAGAGCTATCTGGTTGCTGATAAACTGGCAGCATAGCAGCAACAACTCTGGTGGCTACACCAGGCTGTCATGGCACAGGTGACCACATCTTACTGCTTAAAAACAGCTGGTACCCAGCAGGTTGGATCACATCAGCAGGTGCTTGGCTTATACCATAATGCCTTACTGCAAATGAGTTTTGCCAGAGCCCAGTTACAAACTATTATGTGGGGACATGAATACCCACCAAGCCAAAGCAGGATGTTTTTTGTGTAGGTTCAGCACAATGCAATTACCAGTAACTAGAGAGATCAATGGCATATGTTGCACTATAATCATTAGTCTGACATACATAACTAAAGAAAAGCCAATGTTCATTAATGAGTGAAAAATATAAGTTGTTTCTTCCTGACTTCTTGGTTTAGCAGAATACTTGCCACAGATTTCAGTGCCTTCTGAACTCTTCAGAACATCCACAGCAATTGCCTGTCCACAAGTAGCCGAGTAAGTCTGAATAGTCATCTGCATGAAATGGGGAAAATATTGTCTGCCATCTCTGGCTTCAGCCATCTCCTCTTTTGCCCCAGCTCTGGTTCTCTTCGGACCCCCCTCTGAGTTAATTCACAGCTTTACCAGTGGCTTATTAGTAAACAATATAATAATTTTCTTCCCCCCACTCCAGCAATAGTTTTCTCTTAGGTTGAAGAGTTAATTCACCTCATGGAAGCTCAAAAAAGTGCCAGAGATGATGCAAGGGGAAGTGGTGGGAATGCATGGCCCCTAGCAGAAAACAAGGTCAGTTGGCACTTACCCTGTCTCAATTCACCTTTGGGACTAGAGTCTCAATACTCAATCAGAAAGCTGGTCAGTCAAGGCTTAGCCTGGTGCCACTGGGGGGCCATTCCAGCAAATTTTGAAAGAAGACACTAAGATACATAAATATGTGAGACTATATTTTAATGAGCAGTTTGATTAAATCTACCTTGGGCTGGCTAATCATAGGTCATAAAAAGCTGTTTTAAAGCTGTAATAAACAAAATCTTACTGAAAGTGAATGAATTTAAACAGGTAAAAGCCAGACAAGACCCAGAGCAGTCTCTCAGTAACAACTTCCAAATGCACACTATAAAATTATGTTTTTCCTACTCATTATAATGACAATTAAGAGAATTTAAAAATACACATGCTACAGGCTTAATTTAAAAAAACCCAACTATTTGCACAGCATGAATGAATCAACAGTTCAAACAATGCTTTAAACTTTATACCTAATTTCTAATTAAGGGGTTGTCCTCACTTTTTTCCACAAGAATAAAGACTACTATAACTTCCAGAAATGGAGACCTAGAACAAGTTAAATGATGTAGCAGTAGAGCAGGATCAACAAATGCAGGTTGTTGAAATATGAATTTTTAAAGCATGCAAACAAAATGTCACATTAGTTCTGCATAGCTTTTTTCAAAATCTTATTTTGCATCTGAATTTTCATCCCTCCAACTGTAGTATTTGACAGGATTCATAAATAGCAATGATTGTTCAGCATTTTTTTTTGTTTGTTTTAACTCTCCTTTTCTTCTTGGATGTGTTTAACAGTCAAAACTGACTGCTAACATCCATCAATCAGCCGAGTATAACAGCACCCCCTTCTGGTTTTAATAGCCTGAGGTGGAATCTGGAACTCCCATCACCATGTAAGAAACCTGCACAGGAGATAAAAGATAAAAGTGAAAATCTTCTAAAACTAGGTATTTAGTCATAAGAAATAGGCAAAGGAATATTAATGCCATTATGTTAGCCCAACCTATTCAACTGCAGTGGCTGAGGAGCAATTTTAGAATGGTGTTTGCAGACCATGAGATAGCTCTGTGCAGGTGTGGTGGCCAGTGTGTCTTCATCACTGTATGTGGTGGCAGCACTCCAAATACCTGTTCACACAGAGACTCACTTGACAGCAAGCCTCCTGTCCCACTGCTTCCTCCTCTAGTGTGGGCATAAAGTCTAGTGATCCAAGTACTTGTCTGTTCTGGGCTCATGCTGCCTGAGCAGCCATTTGTCGTCTCTTCTGATGCAAACGTGGTGGGTGGAGAGGATTATCTGATGGGCCAACTCTGTGCAACAAGTTAGCCTATAGTGTTTAATTAGACCACCACTTTGGCGTAGCAACTCTTTTATAATCGCAGTACTGGTATCTTTAAACTTGCTTGGATTTTCAGGAAGAAGTGTCCCAGACTCTGAAACATTATGCTACCACTGTGTTTTGCCATACCAAGCTTTTGCCATACCATATTCCTTAAGTGAGAATTGTTTCAGGGATTCTTCATGTAAAGTACTGCCTGATCATATTATCTATGTGCTTTTACTTTAAAATATTTGTTATGAAAACTTTCAAAACATCAATCATTGCTACATTAGAAAACAGAAAGTCATGGTAATTTGCTGTATGAGGTAAACAGGTGACACTAACCAATGTAACTTAATCAAATTGCAACCAGCCATTTCTGCTGAAGGAAAAAAAATAACCCAGCCCACCACATCAGTAATACCACTGAGATGGACTGAAATCAAACCTGATCCTGTAAGCTGAAGAACAAAAACGCGTGTTCAGGCACCTCTGTATAGATTACTAGCCTGGGGTCTTTTTTCTCTGTTGGCTTTTTCTGGTAATGCTTTATACAATTTAGTTTTAAAAGGCAATTGCACTCCATGCTGTACATAGGTGCTAAAGTATACACAGGACATACTATTAATACATGTCTCTTTGTTGCTTTGTGTGGTAAAGGAGCATTATTTCAGACATAGATACAATTGCAACGGTAATGGAGTGGAGTGGGGGAGATGTGCAATACTGAAGTTTCCTGAGTGGGAAAGCAGACTGAAGTGATGGTGTAATCTGTAGTCTCTCCCTCCAAACAGATCATCTCTACAGATAAATTCAAACCTGAATATAAATGTTGTTGTCATTTACAAGATCCCGTTTTCTCCTGCTGGATGTTTTGAAGGATCTAGCCCATGGTGCTTCATCTGCACTGCGATATCAAACAAGTAATCGTAACACTCACACCTAAAAGGAAAAAACAGTGAAATGTAAAGTAAGGCTCAAGTCTTAACATGTTTTATGAAAATTAATAATTTTCTTCCTTGAGCTTTACATCACCAATTCGATGGTCTGACTGGGCAGCTCTATTATCATTTATTACCATTACTGCGGTATGGAAAGTGCCCAGCATTTTTGCTACAGCAAATGAAGAAGTAAATTCCAAAAATGGGACTAGGGAAGACTACGCAATCAGTATTGGCAGGTGTCATACAAAAGCAGAGATTGCCTGCAGCTTTCATACGAGGAGGGACTTGTCCACATGAAAGGAAAATGTTGGCAACCCTATCAGCCAGCATCAATATAAAAGGAAAACCAAGCAGTGGAATCATGGATGAACCCAAAAGCTCCCTACACATTCAGTGAGGCCAGAACCTAATGTTCTGAATCATTGTCCAGGAGTTGGAAATACACATGACATTAAGGTCATTAAGATTTTGAGGTGTAATGGCAAAAGATACCATATTCCTAAATTGTACTCACATCGTTTTGGCTTTTTCCCAAGTTTCTCCCCATACGTAAACTCCGTGACGTCTGACCAATACAGCACAAGAGTCTGGGTATTTTTCCACTGCACGTGCCATTCTTTCTTTGAGATCCTTCTCTTCTGGTGTATTCTCAATAATGGGAACCACTAGCATATCATCATATCTAAAAGAAAAGTGAATGTTCATGTATTTAAAAAACCACTGTGTTTCGATGTATGAAGCTTCTCCCTAAGAAAGAGAGTCTCCTTTGACTATGTAAAGATGTTAACAAATTCTTAACACTAGTGATTTTACACTCTTCTCTTGTGTGTCACGCTGTAACATAAGAACTCTCAGGCACATCTTTCACTCCCAAACGTATGCTATGCTGGCAATACCTGAGCTACACTTGAGGCACAAGAAGAAAATAACACTTTAATATATTAGGTGTAGCTGTTTGTTCACATACTCTTTGTAGTTGGGTCCCTTTACAACTTTTTCAGAATCTCTTCATCCTGTACTGGCATCACCTACAAGCTTTATCTCAGATTAAATTATTTAAAAGAATCACATCATGAAGAAGGAAATTAATCTGTTTGCTGGAGAACAGAAAAAAAATAATTTAGGTAGTCCAAAAAGCCCCTGGAAATAAGATTGTCCTGCTAAGGCGTATAAATAGAAAGTAGAGTCAACACATGAAAAATAAATTCTCTGTGATGGAGTCATTGGTGGGCTATATGCAATATGTGAGAGCCTGAGAACACCAGTTTCAAAGACAAGATGATGCATGTTACTGAATGGAACTTGCCTAAGAGTTTCTTCTGAAGGAGGACTGGGCTATTTGGCATTGTTTGAACCTTAATTAACACTGGCAGAAACTTGTTTAAATAGTTTTAATAAGTCCCCAGTTCAGGTTCAGATTTATCATTGAGATCACATAGATATTTCATGAGTGGATGCTAGTAGTACTCACTTTCATAAAACACAGAGAGAAAGCAGTGGTAAAAATAATAGTTTGTACTTCAAATCAGATATTCAGAAAATTAAAAAGCCTCATCCCTTGCAGTTTTCAATGCTGATGCTTTCCCGAGAAAGTCTATAAAAATAGTGAATGAAGGAAATTCAGTGGTTTTTGTAGGTTTACTGTGACTCTTAAATATTCTGATCATTAAAATTAGACTTGGAGTGTTTGCTACTAGTGAGGCCAAATGAGCTTGGGACAGTCTGAGACTTCCAAAGCTGTTTACTACAGATCTAGTTCTCCTTCCACTGAAGTCAAAGGTAAAACTATTCTGGCATCACTGGGATATTTAGGCCAACAATACTTCTGAATAGTCTATCTGCAGCATTTTCCTGGATAGCTTCCAGAAAAGGTTTATGTAATTAGAAACAATATAGTGTCAATCCTTTTTTTGAAAGATCACATCCTGTATTGGATTTCTTTTGAATTCAATGGGGAGCCCTGTGTGAGGCAAGACAGTGTAATCGGTCTAGTATGGATCACTATGTACTTAGGAACCATGTAATCTGGAGCTTTGATTTCTTTAGTTTTTCTACTAAGTTAACAGGATGACACAGGACAACTCAGAGATATGGAACCCAATAAATACAATGCCTTCTGACTAACACTTAGGAATGTTTGAGAATTCAAAATGCATATCCAAAAAAGAAAATTGTTTTGTTTTTTTTAAAACAAGTGTTGTTAGACAATTCAATATAAGGAGTGTCTTTTCAACATTAAAAATACAAATAGTAATGCTGACAAGAAGGTGAAGCTGTCAAGTCAACCCAAACTGAATAAAATATGCCCAGGCGTAAAATCACATGCCAGACATAGGGCTTGCTCCCTTGCCAAAGGGTAATAATTAGTTACAAAAATTAACATCAAAAAGTGGAAAGAGTTCAGCATTTCCATTTTTCATCTAATTGTCACATATTATATAAATGTTGTTTGCAGATCCCAATTCAACACTCTGTGGGTGGAGTCCTCAAAACAAGCCATCACACATAATTTGGAATAACTCAGCACTTACCTCAGAGCTCATCCTTGAAAAGTAATAACATTATCTTTAATGAGCTGTTTATTCTGAATTTTCCTTCAAAGTCTGTCAAGTAAAATCTGAAATCCTCTACTCTCTTAACATGCCCTAAACTAGCACAGGCAGTGATATGCGAAGTCCACCCAAATGTAGTTTGTATGTTATCAATCCAACGTAATGTTGGTTGGCTCCAGTTTCAGTTTAACATTGTATAGATGTGTTAAGATCTCTGATCTTGAGATATTTGTCAGGACATAGCTCTTTATTTGGTTTGTTTCTGTAGCTCAACAGACCACAGTAGCCTTGACATTACAAGATTTTATCTCAGATCTCTTCCATAGACTTGAGACTTTCTTAGGGAAAGCCAGTGACTGATTTATTCCAGAAGTCTTTTTACTTCTTATTCCTAATACTTTATATTACACACTTTAACGCACATAACTCAAACGACTTGTCATCTATTTATATTGCTGAAAACAAATGATCAAATAGCATGCCTCTTTTCTTAAATATTGAGAAGTACCGGTAATAGCCTCCTGAAGTACACTTCTGGATTCCTTTTATCATCTCCTGATGAGTAATACTGAACTCACTCCCTGGGTAAAGAAGGGTAGCCATAACAGCAGCCTTGGAATGAGTATGGATCACTGCACCTGCCCCTAAGAACAGAAAAGGAAGAAAAAGATGTATTTTTAGAATGAATTTTAAAATGTGTCTATGAAGAAGATTTCATTCACATACTTGATTCATTTCCATTGGCTACGCATCTTAGCAAATGGTGATCTACTGTATTAGAGGACAAACCATACAGCAACCTAAGTAAAGGTACGAGAAAATTAGTCATCTATAAATGATAATTATGGATTGTCTTAGGACACTAGTGTTAACTAGTTAGTGACAAATTCCAGGAGAGAAACTATTGGCACAAATTCAAGGAGAAACACTATTTGTACATTTCTTTACATACTGCAATGACTGAAACACTCTATTAATTTTATCCGAGTTCTGAGATTCTAAAGAATTCCCAAACTTATTTGTGAGATGAAAGTTTAAAGTCTTTTACTTTCTTTTTATGCTAGTACTATTCGTCAATTATGCACTGATTCTCTGAAAAAATATTTATTGTTATCTTATTGTGTCATGATGGAAAGATAGGTAGACAATAATTATAATTTACTTATAAAGTTGCAAGGTTGCCAAAAGTATGGAATCAGTTTTCCTCGGGTACAGATGTAAGCTTCTTGTGCGGGAAGATCAGAAGACACTCCCTAAATCCTTTCTAAAGTAACAGATGTAAATCTTACACAACAGCAAAAGCTCTCTATTACTGTCCACCTGCAAAAGAAAAGTTTCATACTTTTTTCACCTATCTGTAATTTAGATCCTTTGATCACAGCCAATGGTTATAAAAGGATCTAAAACATTTGCTGAATAGGCAAAACTACTGGTATAAAACTGCTGTAAATCCCCCAGCTCCTCCCACAATGTACTAATATACTGTACTAAAAATTAGTGCCGAAAAGATGATCACAGGTATAGCTACATTAGAAGACTAAAATTCTATTGTACATATTCCCTTGCAAATCAATTTATTTTATAGTTTCATGTTTATTTCACTGTAACTTCCATGTATAAAGAATATGGTATTGAATTTCAGTTTTGTGGATGTGTATATACTGAACTGAACTAAAAACATTTGCTACGCACCTCTCATGGTGTAGGCATTCATAAAAAGAGGTGTGCACTGGCTTTTCTTTAGTTTCTTGTGTGGTGGAGGACCACTGATGTCCTGTTCGTTCATGTCACAAACAAACATATCTTCTGGCTGTAAGAAAGAGGAAATTATTTTGACCTGTGATGACCAAATAGTTGTTTCCCTATTGTCTCCTAGGGAGACAAATATATACACCATATATTTAATATAGAATTTGACTTTAACTTTGTAAAAGTGCTGTAATGCACTGCATTTATTCTAGCTTCTAATACTATTTACTGACATTGTGTAATGTGAATTAAGTACTCCTTCTATTCAGACTGCTGCCAAGCAGCTATTTGTAAAACTAAAATTTTCTCAGAAAGTAGACAGCCTTATAAATAAGCAGCCTTATAAATAACAGACAACAGATCAAAAGGAAAAGTAGTAACTGATTCAAAAAAAGAAATGTAGATGTACTTTTCCTTCCTCCCTTAAAGAACCAACAAGGGACATGAATTAAACATACATATAATATATTTAACTTGGAGAACAATTTTTTTAAACCTTGCTTTTAGTAGCTTTACATGAATGTTACCTTTGCATCAATGAGCTACTCTCAATAGTACAAAGAATTGTTCAGGGCAACAATAAAACTTTCTTCAATGGTATTTTAAAAATCAGCAGGAAATACAGTTGCAAGAGATTTCCTTACTCACTGAGCTCAATCCACTGCTACTGCTAGCAAAGAACAGACCATCATGGTCTTCTCATGTTATGCCTTTGCCTGTCTTACTTGCTAATATCCCCAACGAGCACTGCTACGAAACCCCAAGTTTCTATCAGTGAAGAGATTCCTTTCACTTCTCGTCGTATTTACCCTCAGATCTATAAAACAACAAATCGTTTCCACATATTATTCTATTCTGGGGGAGTTCCTGCTGTCATAAAATAGTTATGATTTACTATTCTCCCCGCCACTTATATTTTGGGGTTTTTTTTGGAAAGGAGACAGAGAGACAAGGTCACCTCTTCATGAGGAGAGCCCATCTATTTACTGAGAATATCAAGACAAAGACATGTAATCACTCTGCAAATAAATAGAGATGAGGTGTTAATGCTTAATTATGTATGTGCCACAGTAACATGAAACTGTAGCCAGACAGCTATAAAGCCATTCAAGCTTGACAAAGAATAAAGCTGGACTTGAGTAGTGTTGGAATCTCACAGTTTTCTGTTACTTTGAAGCAAAGAGATCATCGAGACTAATCTACACTGGCCACTGAAACGCATGCTAGTGGAGTACTGGGTGAAATCCTCAGTTGTTTCAATAAGGCATTCAGTAGTATAACAGGTTTTTAACTTTACATAGGGAAAATTAAACTCTAAACAAAGGTACTTTCATCCATCTCAAGATGAGCTCTCAGGTAAAATCACAGAATCACAGAATCGTTTAGGTTGGAAAAGACCTTTAAGATCATCCAGTCCAACCATTAACCTAACATTACCAAGTCCACACTAAGCCAATCAAGGGTAGACTAGACTAAACCATGTCCCCAAGTGCCACGTCTACTCGTTTTTTGAATACCTCCAGGGATGGCCATTCCACCACCTCTCTGGGCAGCCTGTTCCAATGCTTGACTACCCTTTCCGTGAAGAAATTTTTCCTAATATCCAATCTAAACCTCCCCTGGCGCAGATTGAGCCCATTTCCTCTTGTCCTATCGCTAACTACTTGGGAGAAGAGACCAACACCCACTTCACTACAACCTCCTTTCAGGTAGTTGTAGAGAGCCATAAGGTCACCCCTCAGCCTCCTCTTCTCCAGACTAAACAACCCCGGTTCCCTCAGTCGCTCCTCATAAGGTCTCTGCTCCAGACCCTTCATCAGCTTCGTTGCCCTTCTCTGAACACGCTCCAGCACCTCAATGTCTTTCTTGTATTGAGGGGCCCAAAACTGGACACTGTATTCCAGGTGCGGCCTCACCAGCGCTGAGTACAGGGGTACAATCACCTCCCTGCTCCTGCTGGCCACACTATTTGTGATACAAGCCAGGATACTGTTGTCCTTCTTGGCCACCTGGGCACACTGCTGGCTCATGTTCAGCCGGCTGTCTACCAACACCCCCAGGTCCTTTTCAGCCAGACAGCTTTCCAACCA